GAAGTTACGAATGTCCCTTCTACAGAGCTGCCACGGGAGGAGTAAGTAAAAAGGAGATACAAATAAGAAGTAAAACTCTAGGAGGGCAAGGAAGAGAGGTTAGGACAACCACCGCTCTCTCCATCTGCCCCGAAACAGCAGGCAGAGCCTTTGAGCAGCTCTTTTATTTCTCAACGCCCCTTTTCCTGGTCAGGCGTTTTCCCTGTGCGATTCCACGTGGGAGGAGAGGGCTGCGGGTTATCTAACGAGAGCTGGACATTTCTGACCGCTCAAGGGCAGACAAGGACCGCTGCTTATCTCCCCTCTCCCAGGTCTTCGGGCACTCGGCGCCGCTGCGCAAGGCTCTGTGCAAACGCTTGGTGTCCTCCACCTAAGCAAGGAAAGCATGTAAATGTAGGAAAAAAAATGACACCTTAAGCGAGGGATGGATTTCATTGCTGGAAATACTTTATGAGGCCAAATTGGATGGAGAAGAGAAATATCTGCTTTTCCTTCTGTCAGCATGCACAGTAAACAGAAGCTTTGATTTGCATGTAAAAGCTATTAAAAGGGCCACAACCAGTACCTCATTTTCTGATTATTTTCCCTGTGTAATAGAGAGGATGAAATACAGCAGTAGAGGCTCAGAAAAGATTTTAAAATTACAGGTAATTCCCCACGATCGGGGCCAAGGTTTCAGAGGCAGGAGAAAAACTAGTAAGACAAAACATACAGATTAGACCCCTGAAACATGAGGATGAAAGAGAGAGAGAAAAGCATCGACCCTGTGGTCTGTCCCCTGCAGAAATTCTCTGTCCTGCAACACCCATGCATTGCAGGACATCAGGTAGATGAACTGCCACGGCTAAATGGCACAATTAATGTGCATCTCAAATTAATGTGCATCTCAGCCCAGCCTTGGGGGCATTCAGGGGCATTTTGGTGAAGTGCTCAGGGGTGAAGGACAGGCAGAGGTTCCAGCAGGAAGGATTCAGTCCTCTTGATGCCTCTATATATTTGGCCACCCCAATCCTCACAGCTACCTCCCTCCTTACTTACAAGCCCACCACCACGTTATCCTCAAGTCGGGTACCTTAATCTTGCTGATGGTGTGGACGGGTGAGACTACCCAAAGCATCAAAAAAAGCAAAGTGATGGAGGTTTCACGCATGTACCAGCACAGACAACTGAAGAATAATCCCAGCGTGGTGTTTTTTTCGGAAACAAACAGCATTTTTTCCTCCAGTAACTGACGGAGCGAGGAAGCTCAGCTCTTCTCTGCGCTGGGATTTTAGCAAGTCTTCAGTGCTGTCCTGCTCCCACAGACAGCAGCAGACTTTCCAGCATCTTAACACAGCATCTTTACAAAGCCAATGCTAAGCTCTTTCGGCAAAAATCCCCAAAATAAGGGTTCTGGTGTTTGCTTTCCTCGTATTTTGAGCTGAGTGGAGAAACCATGAAGAGTGAGTTTTGCTGCCTAAGGACAAGGCATTTGCTTAGTTATCGATTCTGATGCTTCTAAAAATCGAAAGGTGGCAACAAACCGGGGCTCCTGTGTAGCGCAACGGCAACGACATGCCAGGCATACTGCGTGCTGAGGGCAAACACGCGAACCATGAGCTCCAGGCACACCGGGGACAACTACAAAGTACTGCAGCAAGAGGACCGAGAGGCCTGGCATGGGGCTCTCAGACTTCACAAAGCCTATTTTAAGTAGAGGAAGACACAGATGGTTCACATTTTTCATGCAGAGATGTTTTCAGTGAAAAATCAGCCTTTTCTCAATTCCCCCGTCTCCACACCCCAAACCTACCACTGTCGCTCTCTATTTTTCATGAAATTTGCTGCCACGGTTTACTGCCTCGTGTTAGCATCCGAAATAACACAAGTCTCTGCTGGTATCTGGGTCACCCAGACCGAGGAGGAGAATCCCATTATTGTCTCTCCTCGTGTTTGAAATGAATGGATTTGTACCGTCAGCTCAGGTTTGGATTCAAACGCTGATATTACTATGACAAGTCGTCGCACCCGGGTGCAAAAAGCACTACAAGACTTTCATCCCAGCCAAGGCAGAGGCAGGACGATGATATTCCCCAGGGTATTTGGGATCCCAGGGTGCTGCCTCTTCACCATCGGGGCTGTCACCTTCGAACACAGAGGGAGAAGTGAGAATATTTACTGTTTATTGGGTTTTTCTCCCCAAAGGGATACAACTATGTGCCATCGGATCCTATCTGCTTTGCAGACGGAGAAACGAACACCACTCGTCGGGACAGCTGCAAAACCTACGGAAGTGAAGAAAAAGCCTTTCCCTTCCTCTGCTTCAGCTGTGGGTGAAGCCCAAAGTGAGCAAACACCAGTTCTGTCTGACGACCAAGAAATCACGCTCTCCAAGTCTACCGGTACGATCGGTGCTCAGGAGCGAAGCAGCCCTGTGTGTCTGCCTCACAGCGTGCGGGAGGCCGATACTGACGTAACGAAACAGACAATAAATTTAGGAGTGCAGAATAACGGAGTTACAGAGCTGCTGTACGACCTGAAACCGTGGCACGAAGTGGCCAAATGGCTCAGCCTGACTTCATACGGTGATTCGGGACATAATTACGAATCTTCTTCTGCTACACCTCAGTGCGTTCACAAGCGTGTTAATAAAACTATCAGCTGCTGGAAAAGAGAAAAGTAGTAAACAATACTGAGATCCATTGGAACCTTTGGTTCCTATCTTCACGAGCTGCAAGTGTACTTCAGATCTTCAGTTCTCACTGAAGTCATGAAATTCTCAGTGTCCAAATAACCTTTCAACGGAACTAAAGGTGCTGGTGCATGTGCACACATAAAAAATTGGTCTAAGTTAAATGATGATGCTGAACTAGTTTAGCATTATTAAATATTCTTAGTTTTAAAGTGGCCACAACTCAGTTTCTCTCCATAAGTTATAGGAAAACAAGGCATATTAATCCTTAATAAATATACAGTAACATGATACCTTGCAACAGAGTTAAAAGCAAATTCTCAGATGACAGTCAATGCCTCTTAGCTGCTATTAAAACGAACCTGTTTTTTCTAGCACTATTACAGAGGCCCATTTCAATAGGCTGCAACTTAGCCTCGGATTGGGAAAGGAACTGGAGAGTGAAGGCACAATTTCTTGAACCGTTCACTCTTAACTCCATCTCCTCATCTAACTACACCTTTGGAGCAGTGGCATGCAATTAACTGCAATTTGGGTAATCTGCTTCCAAATTCACATCTTCCACCTAAGCAGAAAACCCTTCCCATGTGTCCCTCCGCGGATGGGCTTGTTTGTGCTCAGCCCCACGGCCGAGATGGAGACCAGGTTTGCAGGCATCCTGTCCCCAGGACACGCACCTTGGGAAGATGTCATGGGATGCATTAGGGACAACCAGTGCCCAAGGCTACACTGGAAGAACAAGCTCGGCTTGGGAGCTGTGTTTTGGCTCCCAGCCCCAGCCCTTTCCTGGCACAGGATGGTTTAGTTCAGAAGCACATGCCTGGCATACGCACATACATAGATCCCTGATAGATAGACACATGTAGACCTCTGATATACAGAGAAGCAAGAATCGACAATTTCTTAGAAAGAATAGAAAGTGATTTTCTCCACTTCAAAGTGCAGAAATTACTCATTTGGGGCTTGATCCTTCCCATCCCATGGTGTGTACGGCTTCAATGGGACTCTGCGTGGGAACCATGCTACTCCTGTGTCCACTCACACACGGAGACCCAGAGTCTGTATGGTGCTGAGAAAGCGAATACAATTTAAAACTTTTTAAGCTTACGGATTTATGGCTCCAGAACTGCAGAAAAGAGATGGCACTGTCACAAGAGTGTAAACCGGTTTTGTTTAATTTAGAAACATTTTTACGCATTCCTGTCAAAACATCCAGGGATATTTCTGTGTTAAGAAGGGCTGTGGAAGAAAGTTGCTTTCCTCCCCTAGCAGGAAAAGGTTTGCCTACTTTATTTCTTGTTATTCTGGGCCTCTATAATACAGTAAGATATTTTATTGCAGCAAAAAATCAAGACTTTAGTTTTATCCCCCTTGTCCTGTAGCAACACCCAGCAGTCCTGATCAGCGAGTGATGAGTGTTCTTCAGGAGCAGGCAGTACATGTGTATTTAGCAAAAAGCACTTATCAAATATAAATACAGGGTCTGTGCTCTTGGGGATTATCTGATTTTCTCCTGCTGCAGAAAAATCCGTATGAAAATGAAATCCTAAATTTATTTTGCAGCTGCATGACGGTGAGATGTACGTGGCCGGTGGGGTACAGGCTAGTACCAGCACACAGATGTGATTTACTGGGATGTTAGGATGTGCAATCTCAGAAACACTAAGTCACGGTAACTTTGTCTACCAGAAACCTGAGCCTCTAAGGATAGGGATGCCAGATCCGTGTTGGTGCCCTGTCCAGTGCTGCTCTACCCTCCCAGCCGAGGTTTTTCCCCAGCTGTCCCACCTGAATCTCCCAGGTCACAACTTGAGGCTGGTTTTGATTTTACCACCTGGCGAGAAGCTCAGCTCCATCACCTGCTTTTCCCGCCGGCAGGCAGCCGTGGGTGGCAATGAAATCCCGCTCTGAGCTCCTTGCCCAGCTGAACAAGCCATTTCATTTTTTATTTTTGGTGTACTTTCCCCTCTCTCCCTTGCTCCAAAATGCCTTTGCCTACAGCATCGTTCTTAAATTAATTATCAAGGAGCTTTACACTGCAGAGGAGCATCATTTTGGGTCTCCACTGGGACTTGTGGCTTTTTCATCTGCAGCCCGGGAGCGTGAAGGCACAGCCCCTGCAAGACCCGTGACTCACACTCTTGTGGGACATTCGTACAAGTTTTATACGTATAACTCATTTTCCTTGAAGCTCTTCTATTAAATATTTGGATTTTCACGCTCCCCAGCCATGCCTGCCTCCCGGGACAGCCACTATTGGTACTACTTCACCAAGGCTACGTGCAATTAACAGTAGGTTAGGAAATTCGATGGTGACTTTGCACGATACCTTCATAGGCGCGAGCTGGATGGGAGTGATGCATGAGGGATCCACCATAGGCTTTGGCCTGTTGGCCGTGTCCGCCAGCAAGCTGTGCCACTGCTGCGGCAGCCCCGTGAACTTCTGCTCCCGGTGGTCAAAGCCAGTGTGAACCCGATGCTCGAAGTTGGAAGGCCCAGAAATTTCAAGTCTTTTCTTCTTCTTTCCGAACATGGTGGAAAAATCTGGAGAAGTCATAGGGAAGAAGAGGGAGAGAAGAGATGAAATCTTTATGGTTTGTTGCAACCTGCAGCCATTCTCTCTACTGCACAGATAATTTCAGTAGATATTATTAGACAAATACCTACACGAATCTTACTCCGTACATACCGTCTTTGAGATCTACGCAAGGAAACCACTTGTCTAACCTCCTCTCACAGGATCTGAGATTTTAAGAGCTTAACCCAGTCTCTATATATGTTCACAACACCTTACGAAACAGGGAAATGCATCTATTCCCAGGAAAGCAAGCCCCGGTCCTTCTTTCTACCCCTCTCCCTGCTGATCTGCCCCTGCTGCAAGATGTGCCCCATGGAAGCTCGCCGCCCTGAGCTCTCCCGGCTGCAGCAGCGTGCAGCTTTGCTCGGAGGAGAGCACACGGTGTAAGGGGCGAGCTGTGCCCCGACACGCCACGAGAGCCAACGCACGCACAGCTCTGCACCGTAAAGGTATACACCGGATCCTGAGGAAAAGACAACACACCCCAGCTGAGAGCCTGGCCCTGCTATGTCTGTATCAAGATCTCACCCAGCAGCAGTGAAAGGGGCATTTATTCATAGGTCATTTCAGCAATGCAAATACATGGAGAGCTCCGATCTGATTCCAGCCTGGTCTAAGAGCTTTCATCTGTCCTTCTAAAGGGTCCTGCTTAAAAACAGTATTAGGTAGCAGCTGCTATAATCACCCTATTTACATGGCGTGATTCCTCCTTCAGGAGAGAAACAATTTGCTGTGAGAGCCACGTGCCTGAAGCCCCTGGGTTTATGCCTGGGTGGGTGCAGCTGGCTGGCTCACAGCCGGCAAACTTTGGTGACATCCAGACACCTTTTAAGGTGCAGGAGGCAGGATCAGCTCCCTTGGCTTTTGTGCAGGTGGTGTGGAGAAGAGCAAGGAGTCCCTCCAACACTCTGCGAGCAAGGAACTGAATGAGGTTGGGGAAGCATGACCTTCCCAGCTCAGACATCACTGCAGAGACCCAGGTCAACCTGGCTGCCTGGTAAAGCTGACTGATACAGCCTTTACAGAAAGTGAGCTTTTAGGTCAAGGATGTTAGTTGTTATTTTCTGGTAAGAGTGGATTTGTTTGCCTGTTTCTCTCCTGTTTTGCCCCTCCTGAGGAGCCCGAGGAAGGCATCTGGAGGGTTCACAGGGCGCACTGGAGCACAGGCAGAGAGCTGGGGCAGGAGAGGATTGAGAGGCAAAGCGGCAGGAGTCATGAACTGCAGACCGAAAGGGATGAAGGTACTTGCTCACCCTGTTGGCACAGGAAATGCCAGCACACTCACAATCTGGATTAACCCTTGGGTTTGGTGGGTCCCACCCTACAACAAAGTGGAGGCCACTGGTTATACTGAGGCAAGTTCAGAGCTGACTCTCTGAGGGACTCCAGAAACCTGCTGCGTAAGGTCATAAAGACATTCCTGGTCCCAAGGAAAAGAGACAGAGGTCCTTTAGCTTTGCAGTGAAATACTGTGCTGGAAAAGTCCTCTGCCATCCTTCTGCTGTCTCAGAATAGTCCCCTACCTTGATCTCGTGGCCATTGCAAAGCAGGGCGTGCTAAGCCCTTGGAAAGCAGCTGGATGAGTAGGCCAGCAGCTCTGTAAGCCTCTTCTGCCACAGGAGAGGCTCAGCTATACGGGTGCTGCCCTGACTTGATGATTCAGGAGGCAGAGGAGAAGCTCAGGGAAGAAAATACAGTTGTGCTGCAGCAGAAAAAGATGGGATGATAAATCAGGTGTTTGTTCCACACTCGTTCCATTTTACTAGCTCATTTAAAGATCGGGTCCATTATTTGAAAATTGATTGCTGGCTGCTTTGTAAGTCGCCCCTGAGTGTTTGCAGGTGTTTATGCCTCTCCTGTGTGCATTCTCTTTGGATGGAGCAGACCTGCTCCCGCTGGCCTTTCTTCACAGGTCTCATCCTCCACACCCCCCTCTGCCTTTCTCCCTTTCTCTGAACTCCCTCCAGATCTCCTGCCCTTTTGGCAGGTCCCTCTCCATCTCTGTTAACTTGGGGATCTTCTTTACCTTCCTCTACCGAAACCTCTTACAATCACCTTGCTATCTGGCCCTTTTTCCCCTTCCAACACGATCTTTTTATCTTTCTTGTCGGTGGCATGTCGGGTGCCTCATGGCACCTGCAGAAATGTTTGCAGCCTATCCCAAAGCCATCATGGTTGGCCTCTGCCCAAAGATTATTCATTTTAAAGGCTCAAACGGAAGCAGTGGGCAGTTCAGGTAGTAGCCTGCATTCGCTGCTCATCTGCGGGGCTCCACGAATCGCAGCTGGCTGCCGATCAATGGCACCGGATTGATTTCATTCACCCTCGGGGAGGTGAATCAATGGCATCTATTGCAGTCACATTTTAAGCCATCAGCTCTCGGCATGTGCTGCTTCATCGGATCGATGCCAGTACTCACAAGGTTTCCCACTGGACCTGCACCCCAGTGCAGCTGTTGGATGCTTGAAGCCCTCCAGAGCCCCAACCCCCAGCAGACAGACAGGAGCACATCAGTTGGCATACGGCATGTTGCCTTTCTAAGATACACAGCATATTCCTTCAACAAGACGTTACTCTCTCGTTTTTAAATTGCTCCTTGATGCATCGCACTCCCTTGTTTTAGTACCGTTGCAGCGAGAAGCCCATGTGAAATTTGCCCCAGTGGGACCTTTACTTTTTCAGGAGAGTATTTGGGTCTCAAACCTGATGCCAAGCTCATGTTTTTGCACGGGGATGGTGTCTGAGGCCTGGGCAGTAGGACTTGCCCCCCCGTTTTGAATGCAGTTCATGCTTAGATCAGCTTAAATCGACCGTGAAGCTCTAGCAGGAGAGACAGGGATACTGGCACTTCAGACAGCACGGGACGGATCAGCCATGCAGGGAAATACACAACTGTGACGCATCTTGGTGGCGGGAGAACATCCCCCGTGGGGCTGTGCCTCTGAAAGGTGACCGGGAACCTGGCTGACGGTGGCCCTGCCCCATGGGTGTGGGGCAGGAGCTTCTCCCAGGCCATGCCGCCTCTCCAACAGCTCTGCAAACAGCCACTCGGTCCTACCAAAAGGAGCAGAGCCTTGACCGGCTCTTCACGGTGTCAATAACAAATGCTGCGCGGTGCAGCTTCACTTCAGCAACCAGCAAGCTCCCTGTTCCACTGCAAAGCGAATCTGGCCTCTCCTTACCGCGGTCACTCTGAATAACTGTAATTAATATGCACAGCAGTTGCAAGGAGACTTCATTTCCCCTGATTTCTCCCAAAGAATGGGAATGATGTTACTTGTTTTCCTCAGCTGTCAGAAGACGCAGGTTTGCGGCAGCCAAACCTGTGAAACCTCTTGCTCCTGGTTTCTAAGAGCCCTGATTCAGCCCCCACTAACGTGCTTGGCCCTCAGGCCTCCTACAAAGGAGAGATGATTTAATTTTTGCCATAGCTTTATTGATACGATACAAAAAGATAAAGTATTTACTCATTTAATCAGGTGTGGAAGCACAGAAAATATCCTGGACAAGTGAATAAATGAGAAAGCTCTCCAAGGCTTATCAAATCGTTTTAGGAATACGAGGTACCTAAGTGCTTGGAAGAGAAAGGACGGACCTTTCCAGGATGCCGGATAATGTGAGTGCAACATAAGCGTTATGAAATTTCTATCAAGAGCACAAAATGTATGAACTTCAAAGTTCATTCAGGCACCTACCCATTTTCTATCACGCAAAAGAGCAATCCTCTTGCAATTGTTAAGAATCTGTAATTTCCTCACGGGATTAGTTAGGAAAACATCCCACAGACAAGGGGGCAATCACTGGCATTTCGGGGAGGCAACGGGAGGTACGTGGCTGCAGGGCAGCTCAGCGAGGCTGCCCGTGTGGCATCCTCACCCGCCCCTCCCCATGCCAGAGCACTCACCCTTAACTTGATTCCTCCTGACAGCCTCCAACGTACTCCCGATCGTGCCAGGTCCCTCAGCAAATGCCATCCCTCCATCCAGCTCCTCCCGCGCTCACCCCCACCGGACCAGAGGAAATGAGAGGTATCACGCTCCCAGTTTGTGGCTATTTTTGTGGGGATGAGCACAACCAGGATGCCCGCCCTCCACTTGCGCGAGCTGTGCCAAGGAACCGTCCGGCTGATTTCAACACCGCAGACGTGGCGCAAGGTCATGCTCAACACGAGGGGGCCCAGGGAGCATGTCAAAAGCGAGTCTGTTCTGAAGCAGGAGAGCCAGGAGAGAAGTCTGTGTTGAGCTCAGGGCTGCGATGCCAAGGGCCTCCCTCCAATCCATGGTCCAACCACGGCACAAGAATAAACATGAAGGACTTGGTTTCTTTATCAAAGGCACAAACGGAAAAAACAGACATGATGTTTCCTGGAGGAAAACGCAATGCTGGTGGGGAAACTCAGACTAGTGCACCACCTCTCTGTACTCTGCTCTGGTGAGACCCCACCTAGAGTGCTGCGTCCAGCTGTGGAGCCCTCAATATCAGAAGGATATTGACCTCTTGGAGCGAGTCCAGAGGAGGCCATGGAGATGATCAGAGGGCTGGAGCACCTCTGCTATGACGAAAGGCTGCAAGAATTGGGCTTGTTCAGCCTGGAGAAGAGGAGGCTCCGAGGAGACCTCATTGCAGCTTTCCAGTATCTGAAGGGGGCCTACAAGGGTGCTGGGAGAGGACTTTTTACAAGAGCTTGTAGTGACAGGACAAGGGGTAATGGGTACAAACTGAAATCAGGGAGGTTTAGATTAGATATCAGGAAGAAATTCTTCCCAGAGAGGGTGGTGAGGCACTGGGACAGGTTGCCCAGAGAAGCTGTGGATGCCCCATCCCTGGAAGTGTCCAAGGCCAGGCTGGATGAGGCTTGGAGCAACCTGGTCTAGTGGAAGGTGTCCCTGCCCATGGCAGGGGGGTTGGAACTAGATGATCTTTAAGGTCCCTTCCAACCCAAACCATTCTGTGATTCTATGATTCTCTCCCACTGACGATGGCCGAGTAACCCATGGCAGCGCTGGTCCCAGCTGTGCCAGTGGGGAATGGCGAAGGGACAGCAGGATAAAAGCGTGAGCTGTGTTTTGTAGATACAGCTACCTCAGAACCTTTTACAATGGCAGTATTTGTGTTATTCAAGCTTCTGCCCGAGGAGTACCGTCAGCTCTGCTGTTACAGTCAAGCACAGCTGCTCGGGAAGCAGGGCGATGCTGAGAGGGTGCTACCAGGAGCCATCGCTGCATCTTGCACTTAATGCTGTTCACTGTAGTGCCTAGCAAATCAAATCACATGCTAATCAGCACGCCCTGCCTGTTAAATCTACTCTAGGCCCGTCTCCTTTTCACTTCGCTCCTTTCGCTGCACACAACTAATTCACTGAGCACCACAGTGCCACGGACACCCAGACCGGTCCAAATTTCACGCGCGACCTCCGACGACTGATCAGGTCCCCACACGCAGAGAAAACGCCTTGTGTCCAAGACGCTGCCTGTGCAAGGTGTGAGACACAGACCAGCAAAGCAAATCCATTCTGTCTGCTACCCCACCATCATGGGGCTCCCAGTCATAAATTTTCCCACCAAGAAGTATCCTACAGCCCTACCCTGGAGCAAGAGAGCAGCAGTATTATTTTGGGTGCCAGGGGAGCCCATTCAGGCCTCCCATGAGGGTGTCTGCGCTCAGGGCAGGACTTCCAGCGATAGCCTTCCCTGGAAAAGTTAAAGCCTTGCCCAGTTCCCATCCCTAAGCTCACGTTCAGGGGTGACAGGCTGCCCTGTTTGCCCAGTTTCATGCACTTGGCCCCATCCTGGGGTGCTGGTGGGTTGTCCCTCCCCTGGATGTGAGATCAGAGGACACTCTCGGAGACTGACAAACTGAAAAGCTGAAGGTCCAGGTATGTAAATAGCCTCAAAGAACAAATTGTTGCACTTAGAGCATGTAAAACGCAATTAAGAAGTCAGAGGCACTTTTTTATTCCCCTCCCAGTAGCCATTATTTTTAGGTTAAAAACTAGGCGAGTTGGAAATGCTTACTTTGTCTTGTAATCTTGAAAACTATCAAGGGGTCCCAAGAGCATCTGCAAAGCACTGACAATGGCACCTGCCACCCCAGATGACCCCACAGACTAACACTGAGCAAAGGTCTGTGAAATTTTGCCACGCGAAAACCATACGGTAACATTATAAAGTTAGTAACGAGAATAACGCAGCGAGATGGCTATTTTTACTTAAAAACTGAGCTTTTAACGACTGTGTACCATAGCTACATAAGCCCTATTTTGTTTTTTTTTTTTTTATTATAGTGTTCCAGCAGCCAGATGCTGTGTCCCACTAACCCACGGAAACCACCTGCATCCAGCAGCAGCGTAACCCTGAGCCACCCTGGAAGCCCTTAAGAATTTCTTAGGCACACCTTGCTGCTGCTCCAGCATGTGGCTGAGCTGCAAGCATTCCCCCGGGAAGGGCTCCGTGTTTGGCATCTACCTCAGCCCAGCAATTAATTCCTTTTCAGTTAGGAAACTCATACCAGGTTAAGTCCATCAGCCTGTATTTTTTCTGCAGGGATTCCCTGTGGTTCCTCTGCTGAGCAAGGGAACAGGCACGCTGTCAGCATCTTTTGTGCACACCGAGTATCATCTGCAAGCTCAGAGTGGGGGGGTAGCAGCAAGGGTTCGAACTCCCCAGTGCCCCATGAAAAGGCACATTTCCCCCCCACCCAGGCAGCCACACAGACAAAAAACGATAACGAAACGCTTCATTTTTAAGAACTTTTAAGAAAACTGTTAAAAGCACAGATTGCAAAACGGGAGACGGGTGCGGGTCACTTTCCTTTGATAATTTTTACTTACTAATAATAGTTTTCTGTAGCACAAGGACCTCAATTATTCCCCTCCAGAGCAAACACAACGCAGTAATACATCATTAGCTTCGCCAGCTTCTGTTCCCGCGCTCTGATTAATTGTAACCTTTCCCGATATTTGATCATAAATGAAAGAGTATGAATTGAGAAGCACAAATTAAATTAATGTGTCAGGCCAGCTTGCATAGCCAGTATTCCAGATAAATGTGAGCTGGGCTGATACTCAATCTCAAGGAGAAAGAAAATGTCTGGTATGGACTGATGGCAGCATAAATCGCTAAGAAATACTCCATAAGTGAGAGGTAAAAATGATGTTGGTTCTCCTTCAGCTCACACTGGTGCAACTCCCCGCTGCTGAGCCAAGCGGAAGACGATCCACACATCTGTACCTATACAGCTATAAAAACGAGGAAAATGCTTAATTTGCTTTTAATAAAGAATAGCAACACCAACAGTTTTGTATTTCTTTTTTGTTTGCTTTAGGGATAGTTCCAAGCTTCTTGGTGGGGACGCTCTGCTGCTGGCCGCAATTAGAGCGTGAGTCTCCTTTGAGAAACAAGTGTGTGCCTTGATTGCAGGCATACATGTTTTTAGAAGCATTTACCTCTATTTTTCTATTTTTAACTGAAAATGTAGAGAACACTACCCTATTTTTCAGGAGATGAAACAAGAAGCGATACCTGGAAAAGCAGAGCAGACTGAATGAGAAGCCAGTAAATGGAAAGGCTCTTAAAAATGGCCCTGATTTCAGGTCAAGCCTGACACACCACTGTGACTCTGGGACAGAGGAGAAAACCGGTTTGACTTCCCACATACGATGCTCTTAAATACTTCCCTAACTCCCGGGGGATCTTTCTGGATGTATGGGATGGAGATGACTTAGAGGGCATGCAGGAACTGGGGGCAGCTGCCTGCAGGGCACACTCAAACCACAGGCAGGTGGGTCCTGTGGTCACGTCTTGTATTTATTCATCCATTTACTGGTCTTACCTAAAGGGAGATCTCATTTCTTCTTTAGATACAGGGTAGGTTCAGACCTCTTGAGAGGATGTTGTTTGTTTTGCCCTGTGGATGGCTGACAGCAAATGCAGGAGAGTACCAGGTTGGTTCACCTAATTAGAGACTCCGTTTCCCATCATCCCTGCTTAACCCTCCGCTCTGCTCAGTTATGATCTGAGCATTTCAATTTGGGAACAATAAAGTAAACCCTTAGAAAACGGTCTGACATACCCTACTAATGAATCAAGATGATGGCTTTAAACACCGACTCTCTGGCAGCAACAAAAAGGATCTACAAATCCTGAATTAACAAAGTCAGCCCATACAGTCCAAATTTTGAGTCTTTTACCACCCCACTGAGCTCTTCCACATGTAAATAGTGTCACTGATGGAAAATTAATCACTTGTGACCATACGTTTTTTCCAGACTAACTCTATCTTTTTTTTTAATTGAAAGAGGGTATAGAAATACCATTTTCAAAGCACGCCCATGCGAGTTTTGGGCACACAAAAAAGCTTGACAGTCCCATGGATTTTCAAGGTGCCTTATTTTTTGCAATGGGACAGACTCGTTAGGTCATCTAAACACTAGTCAAACACACGCTTTAATGATGGAAATATATATACTGATGGGCTAGACCATGCCTGGCAAGCACAAAAATGCCACCTGTCCCAAAGCCCTCACTGACCCTAAGGCATTCTGCTCACTTCAACCTTAGGTCAAATTAGCCAATTTTTCAGAGCTGTTGTGTCACTGCACAACATAGTAAAAATGCGTTTAAACAATTACAAGCTCTCCAGGACCTGTCACTGTCCACGTTTCTTTTCAATCCTACAATACCTTGTTTATGGTTGAAAACACCTTCATTCGTCACAGCACAGCAGGGTGGCTCCTGATAGCCGGCCCACGAGACATAGCTAATAGAAATGCACAGTGGAACAAAAACGAGGCAAAAATAGTAACAAAAGGCAATGCCTGCTTCTAGAGAAACAGTAAAAGCCCGTACAGAGTGGCCAAATGAGGATTGATGTACTCCAGGGACCAATACTCATTCTTCTTATTGAAAGCTACTCTTGTACTGGGACTCAT